TGAAAAACAACTTTGTTTTTTTTTTCCAAATACCACAAGGAAGGAGAGTATTTGCCTATGTTGTGTCCACCTTGGCAGCAGAGAATACTGTTTATCCAAAACCATTTAGATTTCGGTCAAACCAGTAGCCAAACTTTAAAGAATATAATTGGCTATAAGAGAAGTAACAGCTGAGTTCATCAAAACCATCTTTAAACCCGATTGAATTGACTTTCTAAACAACAGCTGAGGTTTCAAACCTCTGAGACAAGAAGACATTATTTATGCAGGCACATTTTTGAGAAATGTATCCTTTGCGGCTTTCAAAACCCAGCTACACTTTAAAATCATCTACAGAGCTTTTAAAGAAATGCTGGTGTCTAAGCTCCATCTTGTAATAATTAAATGCGAATCTTTGGGAATAAGCCTGGGCCTTGGTATTAAAACAAGTGAACAAACAGAATCTACCAAAGTGATTTTAATGCATAGGCAAGGTTTAGAAACAGTGACTTGAAAAACATTATTTCCTACATCTATTTTACCATCACATATTGGTATCTTCACTGGGGCAAGCAGATGATATTCAGGTTTCTGTTTTCCTGAGAACTCACAGGGCTGTTTTAAGGTGTGATAGATGATATTATGTTACCACAATTCTTCATCCCTGCATCCCCTTGCCATTGCTTGTCTGTTGGGGGAGTATACTCATATGGCTTCAGGTTTGCCACACGATTTACAATGAGTGATGAAGTGTGGAAATGGCATTTGTGCCAGTTTTAATCTAAGGTGTTAAGAGGCATGGCAAGTGTCCATCGAGATGCAGGGAGCTTATCCTTTTTCCTATTAGGACAGCAGGTAGCTGCTAAGTTTTCATCTTGAATTTAGGAATGAAGCTATATGGAGATTGTTCTTAACCCAGGGCTAGAATCCCATCTGGTCCAGCTAAGCCAATCTGAGTATTCCAAATACCAGCAAACTGCAATTAATCTATAATACTATACACATGAGATAAATTTTCTTGCTATAATTCTCTGAGATCTTGGAGTACTCTTCAATACAGCATTATTCCAAGAAAACATGACATGACAAATTCACAAGTATTTCCTTATAAATAATCTATACATCAAGCAACATCTAGAAAATAATTGGTAGTAAATAAGAATCTGGTGAGTAAATCTGCTTTTATGTAGGGCTCATTTAAATGTGATAATACTAAAAAAATGGAAATCAGGTTTTAAATGGTTTAGAGTAAATTTAGTTTAACAATATTATAAATGATGTGGTGATCACCAGAATTTAAATAAATGGATTGTATCTTGATAACCCACTAATTATTCTGTCCATTTATAAAGAAGATATTAGTAAGTATACTTACAGTTGCTTTTTCCAGTGGTCAAATGATTTGAGTTTTCATCTGGGTTGCTTGATGCAAAGTATTTCTATACTTAACAGACATTCATATATAAGGATCAAATGTTATATTGATTTGGAAATATTGCTTTTATTTTTAGCATACTGCCAGACATTCAGTTAAGATTCAGAGAATTCAACATATCCTTTAGAGATCTATTTATTGAGTCAGAGACATATTTGATCATTAATGCTTAGAATTATTAATAGCAAATAAACAGATAACACTTCTTGAGCAATAAGTGTCAAGGCAAATAGTTAATGGAAAAATTAACTGTCAAAATGTCTTTTGTAATATATTAGGAAGTAACACCAACCCTTTGTGATTGTATTTGGAAGTTATAGGAAGTTGAATAAACAATCATAAAAATCTTTAAAAGAGAGAATCATGGTTAGAAAACAAAAAAGTCTTAATTTTAATTAAACTGTCTTTGAAACTCTCTTTGCCTTGATAAAACATACTATAGAAAGTGTTTTAGTTCTTAGTAATTAAACCCTGTTTATTTCTAAAATGTTTTTTAAGTTTCTTAATAATTATAAATTATTTTATGTCTTCTTTTTGATGATCCATCTATGATTACTAAGAGATACTAAAAAATCTTTATATTATGGGTAAAGCAAAATGAGTTATGTTATCACTTTCTCATGATTTGAGACTTACAAGCATGCATTAATTTAAGTGCAAAGACCCAAGTTTTACAGACTATGAACCTGTCATTCACTTGTGATGCTATTTATATCAAAGGCAAAAATAGCATAACAGAATAACACAAGAAATGCAGTACTCACACACACTGGCTTTGGTGTCCATGTGTGTTTGTAAAAAAAGTATTAATTTTATAGTATCTTGGGGACCAAGTTGATGCTTCACACATAATCCACAGTGTCACAAATGTCCTTAGTAAACCACATTCCCAATTGCAAAGCCTTCACACTTAATATAGTGGAATGTCACTCTGTGCTCACTGGGTTGCCAAAACGTGCTAGCAAGGTTACCACTGTATCACCTATTTTGCCCCTGAGATAGGAGACAGTAGACAATTCAAATTAGGTGTAAATGAAGGAGGTAAGTAGGGTAGTGCATACTGATCCAGAATATTTGTTTGAGTCTATGCTACCTGTTGGTGAAAGTCTTCTGGGAATTAATGCTGTCCTGCTGTATGTTTGCATTGGTATTTTAATATACATTAGGATGCTGAGATTCTCCTGTAGTGCATAAATGTCTGCCTATGACTGAATGTTACATTGCACTCCTTTTTCTCATGTGTTCACATTTTTCTCACTCACATTTGTAAGTTGCAAGCATATGTATGGTGGATATATGCCAAATATAAATTCACAAATAGTATAATATCAAACCTCATCTTTTTATGAGGAATATATATTTGGTGAGAAAAAGTCATAAGTCCAAAGAAAAAGGTCAAATTAGCATTCAGTTATAGGCACCTGGGGGCAAAAAGATATAAAGAACTATTACTGATAAGGTTCATCTTCTTTTAAGAAAGCACAGACAGACTGTTTTGTCATTTGGTGAGATGGGAACTCCTGAAACTTGAATCATGAAATAGACAACCTCAGAATTTCTGATACAGTCCAGGTAAGATATAAGGCAGGCAAATTGTAGTACCCAAGAAAAGTTTATGGAAACCAGTTGTGTTATAAAGAAATGGAAGAACCTAAAGTGATAACTCAAAGGCACTTAATCAAAGGCACCATCAGGATTTAAAACAAAAGTGATGTATAGAAGGAAGAGATAGTTAAGGGTGAAAAATGGAGAAGTAGAATACTATTTATATCACATATATTACTGGTAGAGAACATTATTTGTATGTTGCAAAATTTTAAAGTTTGACTCTCCATCATTTCAAGGGTCTAGTGTTTTATGAGCACACATCAGAAAAAGGGTTAGTAAAAATAGCCTCCTCAACCAATGGTGTTGGGAGATCTGGGCCGCTACATGCAAAAAAATGAATCTTGACCACTAACTTACACCATACACAAAAATATACTCGCCCTGGCTGGTGTGGCTCAGTGGACTGAGTGTCAGCCTGTGAACCAAAGGGTTGCTGGTTGGATTCCCAGTCAGGGCACATGCCTGGGTTGTGGGCCAGGTGCCTAGGGATGGGCATGTGAGAAGCAACCACACATTGATGTTTCTCTTCCTTTCCTTCCCCCTTCCTTCCCCTCTCTATGAAAACAAATAAATAAAATCTTTTTAAAAAATAAATAAACTTAAGATGTATAAAAGCCTTAAATACAAGTTGCTATACCATAAAAGTCCTAGAGGAGAACATAGGCAGGAAAATCTTGGATATTCCACACAGCAATATTTTCACTGATATGTCCCTTAGAGCAAGGTACATAAAGGAAAGAATAAATAACTGGGATCTCATTAAAATAAAAAGCTCTGCACAGCTAAAGAAAACATCAGCAAAATGAAAAGGGAACCAACCGTATGGGAAAATATATTTCTAAATGATACCTTGGACAAGGGTTTGATCTCCAAAATATAAAGAACTCACAGGGCTCCACTCCAGAAAGACAAATAACTCAGTTAAAAATGGGCAAAGGAGGACACTTCTCCAAGGAGGACATACCCAGGGACATATGAAAGGATGCTCAGTATCACCAGCCATCAAAAAGATGTAAATTAAAACCACAATGAGATACTAGTTCACACTGGTCAGAATGTCCATCATAACCAAGTCAACAAACAAGTGCTGGTGAGGGTGCAGAGAAAAGGGAACCCTAGTACATTGTTGGTGGGAATGCAGACTGGTGCAGCCACTGTGGAAAAGAGTATGGAATTTCCTCAGAAAATTAAATATGAAATTGTCTTTTGTCCTAGCAATTCTACTGCTGGGATTATACCCTAAAAATCCTGAAACACTAATTTGAAAGGACCTATACACCCCAATGGTCATAGCAGTACAATTTACAATAGTCAAGGGCAAGAAGCAACCTAAGTGCCCATCGGTAAATCAATGGATCAAAAAACTATGGTACATTTACACAATGGAATACTATGCAGCAGAAAGAAAGAAGGAGCTCCTACCCTTTGCAAAAGCATGGATGGAACTGGGGAGAATTATGCTAAGTGAAATAAGCCAGGTGGTAAAAGACAAATACCATATGATCTTACCTGTAAGTGGAACTTAATCAACAAAACAAACAAATGAGCAAAATAGAACCAGAGACTTGGAAATAAAGAACAAACTGACAGAGGGGAGGTGGGAGGGGTCCAAAGCGATCCATTTGAAACACAATTTACTCTCCACTGGTAGTTTGGACTTTCCAACACAACTGTGAGCAGAAACAGGCCCACGGAGCATGCGCCAAGCACTCTGGGGAGCCTCCTTCAGTGACTGCTCCTGTCAGTGTGCCTGTTCTTAATCAAATGTTTGACTTTGATGAGGGATCAGTGTGCTTGTTTTGTTTTTTTTACCTTTATATTTTGAAAACTTTCAAACTTGCAGAAATTTTTCTTTTTTTCTTTTTCTTTTTTTTAAGTCACAGGTATGTTTTTTAAGTCACAGGTAAGTCACAGGTATGTATCCTCAGGAACATCTAGATTTTCCCTTCCCAGGAAGTGTTACAGGGGAGGCCAACCCTCAGGAGGCAGCGATGCCACCACCTGAGGCAGGCCCATGGGGCGGCAGTGTCATGGGAGGCAGGAACAGCGCCTTCAGCTTGCTGGACAGGCTGGCAATCTTGGGATCCTGGGCTTCGTAAGACTTGACCAAGCAGGCAAACTTAAGAACACTTTTCTCGTCACAGCTGAAGCCATAGGCATTGATAACCTCCTGCTGAATCTGTGTGGCCACCGGCAGCACAAATTGCAACATCTTGCTCTTGTCGTTGTATGTGTTGTCTCGAGCCTCATCTATGTGTATGGCATTCTCAGGGGCCCAGAACACCTGGATCACCTTGGCCAGGACCATGTTGGTCTTCTCGTCACTCAGGGTGGCAGGTAAGGGGGAGGGTTGTCAAGAAACATGTATAAAGGACACATGGACAAAGCCAAAGGAGGGTAGGATTGAGGATGGGAAGTGTGGATGGCTAGGGTTTGAGGAAGGGTGGGGAGAAAATGGAGACAATTGTACTTGAACAACAATTAAAAACAGGTTAAACAGGATTTGGCAGATTTCATGTAGACATGAGTCTTAAATTGTTATAGAAGAATGATAAAACTCTCAGTCATCTGGTTTTTCATCTATAAAATGGACAGATAGGGCTAAAGTCTTAGTTCTGTTCAGCAATACACTATGTGATTATTAAATAAATAAATAAGTAAATTAATTAATGGATAAAGTATATTAGGACTATTTCATAATGTTCAGTAAAGGAATTACTGAGTCTAAGTACTCTGGGGTTGAAAAGACTGTTTGCATGACATTCCAATAGGGACTAGTATTTTGGAAGGCAGCTATGCTCACCACTATACCACCAATGCCAACTGGGACTAGTATTTTGTATAATTTTCTTCATCATATTACAAGAAGATGAACTATACTAATAGGTTTGGTAAAAAGAATTGCATGAGAGAGATATACTACAGATCACGCCATATAAGTGTATGCAAATATTTTCTATGTTATTTTACCATATGTAGTACTCAATTGAACATACCATCATTTACTCAACCAGACCTGTTCTATTGATGGACTTCTCGGCTATATTCATTATTTTGCTATCACCATTAATGGCACACAGATTAATCACAGAAAAGTCATTTTGTATTTTTGTCAATTATATATTTTGCATACATTTCTAGTAGCTTGATTACTGGACAAAAAAGTATAAATGTTTATGTTTTTATGTTTTGGTGTTTAGAGATTTGTAATTGTGTTTTTTTATACCAATATGTTGTGTGTTTATATTTGTTATATTTGGTACAAATATGAAAAATAATGAATAAGCTAGTATGGCCTTATTCCTACTCTCTTCCTTCTTCCAATCTTCCAATTAATATAAATTTGTTTTCATTTGAAACCTATGTAGCAATCATCAAGCTTAATCTGTTTTCTAAATAATGTCCCTATCTCCCTTGTTTGGGGCTAATCTTTGTACCATGGTTAGTAAAGGAGATAAGAAACATTTCCATACACTTAATATGGAGTAACTTATATTATATCTTACTAGGTAAAATGAGTGAAGTGCTGATATTGTTTATAGTATCCTATTTATTAAGTAATAAAGAAAGGGTTTACAAGTAATTAAGGGGAATAAGGCTTATATACTCAAAATAAATAATGGAAGAAAAAAACAACAAAATAATAATAACTTTAACCTTCAGGTGGGAGAAGGGACCACATGAAAGGTGCAAAGTAGAAATAAGGCTTCTGTGAACAAAAACTGTTCCAGTTTTCAGTTTGAACTCAGGTCAATGCACTTCAGTCAATACTGTAGTGTCCAGCGCCCAACAGGCACTAGAATTACTGGGGTGATCACTTTGTAAGTTGTATAAATGTCTAATCACTATGCTGTACACCTGAGACTAATATAATATTGTATATCATCTGTAATTGAAATAAAGATGTATTTCATAACTTAGAAAAAAATAAGCCAAAATGGAAGAAAAGCCCACTCACAAAATGTTGCAAACTTATTGAAACAAATGGACCTCATTACAAAGTTGGTGGCATAACCAAAAGAGAAAAACATTCCAAGTGACTTTAATATGTAGTTTTAAATACATAATATTTCAGCAGCTTTATTGAAGTATCATTTACCTATAATACAATTCACTTATTTTAAACTTAAATGCAGAGTTTCATAAATTTTGGAAAATGTAGTCAATATATAGACTATTTCGAAGTCAAAAAATTTCCTTAAATCCTCTGAGAGTTAATATTGTTTCCCTTGACTCCTGAATCTTGGTGATTTCTGATCAATTCTTTCACTTCAACTTTTATAGCATTTTATATAAATACAGGATCTGACAGAAGTAATGCCTGCTTGAGTGTGGTTGGTAAGGTAATAATATGGGTGTGATAACTTATAGTTTTAATTTGAACATTTTGCCTAAGTTATCATATGGTGTACATGAGTGGGATATTGTTATGTTATGGAATCACATGCTTATGATTTTGTAATAAAAAGGGGTCTTATTTGTGCCAACCATTTGTAATCATCAGTATAGCATTTCATGTAAATATAACCATCAGTACCTCAGCTTTTGTGTTTTTTCCCTCATAGTTTGATGTTTGAACTTGTCCATGTTAACACCCATATCAGTAGTTAATTTCTCCTTACTGATGAGTGATAGTCCTTCATATGGCTATACCACAATTTGTTTATCCATTCACCAGATCACAACATTTGAATTGCTTCCCGTTCTGGCTAGTATAACTTACAATGCTTTGAACATCTGCATATAAGTCTGTGTGTGAATAAATATTGGTTCTGAGTGAGTACATAGTAATGAGAGTTCTTAAATTTTCTGGTTGATATGGCATGATTATGTTTAATGTAGAAAACATCAAATTCTTTTATGAAAAAATCTGCTATGTTTAATTCATATGTATAGAAATATATGAAATTTCACATGTGTAGAAAAATTACATAGAAAGTAAAACCTACAGACTCTTTTCCAAATACCAGTGAAACTACTCACAGTCAGATAAAATGTTCCAAAGGCCTTTGTGGCACTAAAAAAGGAAATTCCCCCATATTAGAGTTCTGTTCCACTGCCAGTGAGTCTGGCTGTAGCCCCGAGACTGCAGCTTTCTGCTCCTTCCTCTCCCTCTCCACTTATTTAATCTCCACTTTGGTTCTCAGTACCGCTGTGTAAGCTTTGTCTTATCCTTTGTTTCCCCATTCTGGGTTCTCCTCCAGCCCACTGTCCTCTGCTGTATTTTCCATTCTTTTGTGTGTACAACACCTCTTGCAAATAAATGTTTCAACCAGCAGTTCCTTCTCTTTGAGGAACTGAAGTCCCAGTTTTCAGAGACTACACTGGGAGCTCCATCACCAGGAGAACGACTAAGACTGCTTTTAACCTCCTCCTCACAGCAATCTGTCTGAATTTTAAAGCCCATGCAGCTTTCTCTAGTACTTGACACTGGAGAGTGTCTTATATTCCCCAGGGGAATTTCAGGGACTGCTAGCAAGTTATCATCACACCCTCCTCAGAGTGGAAGGTGTTTTAGTCTGTAGGGAACTTGATCTAGCTCCCAGTGTCTGCCCCATATACACACATTTTCCTTGAATTTTAGCAGCTCTTTTGAACATACTCATGCTGGCCCAGGTACACATGACTCCTGAACCATGTACTAAAAATGGGATCTAATGACCCTGAAACATCCTAAGAAAGAAAATTGAATACTCCTAAATCCTCTAGTTAAGGGGCTGTGTAATTTCAGAGAGAGAGAGAGAGAGAGAGAGAGAGAGAGGGAGAGCGAGAGAAAGAGGAGCTGTCCCATTTACTAAGCCCTGCATGGGAGCAACACAAGTTTTTCAAGACAGTGCACCTGGATGATGAGGGCAAAGGGAAAACTCCTATTTTCCTTTTTCCAAAACAAGAAAAGTCCTTGTTCTTGACACAGTTCTGTCACTTGCACTTTGTGACTCTTGGCAAGTTACCATAGACTTCCTGAATCTTAGTTTCCTCATTCGTGGATGTGAAGGGTCATAATTGTCTCATGGGACTGTCAAACAGCCAAGTGAAAGGATATACAGGGTCTGACACAGATAATGCCTCTTTTTTGTTATAAAATCATAAGCATGTGATTCTGTAACATGACAATATCATACTCAAGCACACCATATGATGTTTTAAGTGAAATGTTCAAATTAAAATGATAAATTATTACACCCACATTACTACCCTACCAAGCACACTCAAACAGGCATTACTTCTGCCGGACCCTGTATTGAAAGTGGTTTACCAGGGCCTTACTCATGGTAAATATTCAATAAGTATGTATGTATTCTTACATTAGATTTTTAATGAGAATAAAACTGCATTGTTTATTCAAATAAATTGATTAGATATCAAGCATTAAACTGGTCATTATCTTTGTTTTACAAGTATAATATTACAAAGCAGGAACAAAGTAGAATCTGAAAAAGCTCAAATCCTAGACTGACATTTATAATTGTATATCCTACTAATCCCAAACCTCCCTGCATGGCACAAAAAGGTAATGTCTACATAATTTAGAATTAATGTATTGTAGCTAGTTATTCTTGTAGATGGTTCCCTATGTAATGCAGAACTTAATAAGCAGAAGCTGGAGAGTCAGCCTCACAGTGGTCTGTTCAGATGGCAACAACTTCAAAGCTACAATGTTATGTTGTTGGCAAAAAACAGTTTATTGAAAATGAGGAGAAATGTAAATGACTCCTGTAAAGAAATTAAATTAATGTTAGGTACTAGAACACAGATGTTTTGTGTGCCATACCTATACAACCATGTCATTAAATTCAAATCTCTAATTAACTGACATCTGTTTCTTGTTCAATTTTGATATGAGTCATTGAAACCATTTGCAGAAACAAGTACACTTGTGAAAGAAAAAAAATGTTCCTGACCTTTTCTCTCCTATTTTTTCTGCTTTATTATTGATTTTTAAAAATTGACTGGCTGACTAATTCAATGATTCAGAACTAAGACATACCTGACACTCCAAAGCCTGTTTATCTTACTTGTTAGCTTCAGATGCTGGGCAACAAAAGATTCTCTAATAAAATAAGAAACAGTAAATAATGTTAAATCATGAAAAACAGGTTGCTGAATCTCAGGCAAGATTGTCTAATTAATTTTAGAAGAAAAACAGATGAGCTAATTTTAGACTAGCCTGAAAGCCCAGTTTCTCTTTATCAAGAAATATTAACATTTCAATTTAATTAAAAATACGGATCATCCATTAGAAGTGTATCTCTATCACATGTATCTAGACCAAAAAAAAAAGGGGAGGGATCATTTTGAATGACATAGAGTTTATTCAAGGTCTAACTCTGAAACTATGTA